TGTTCGAGGATTCAAACGAAACTCTCTTAAGAACTCTTGCATAGTTTCCAAAGCTTTCCACCGCATCGGTGTTCGATTCGGGGAATGACGGTCGAGTGCAGGTGTCGGCTATAATCCCGGCTTCCTCGGAAGCTGCACTCTATAATTAGGACTCTAGTGACCATCTCTCGTTTTCCCGAGTTGGGTCATTCGACCGCGTTTACGTAACGTTTATTTGTGAATTTTTGTATTTGTTATAATGTGGGTTCCTCTGTATTATATGAGAGGTTTCATGTAAAGCGGCTCATAATAGTCATAAGCATGATTTTAACACGTAACAATCTAATATTCAAAGCCTCGAAATATAACCAAGAAGTAGTCGTAAATGGTATTTCTTTGTTATAACTCGAGTTACACGCTTTCTTTTTTATGTCATTCGACCAAATGAGATGTTGTAATAACGCTCCTGTCTTTTGACCAGAATATAAATGACTGTTGTCTGAATTTATTTTTATAGGTGACAATAAATATGCCTCATACGCGAACTGGTTCCGTACCGATAATCGATGGAGCCGATGTCCGCTGAGACGTAGTACACATTTTACGAGCGGTTCCAATATTCCACCTATCTGTAGATATATTTGGTCTGGCTAATAATGTTTTAATAAAGACGACGCGTGTCCATACTGCGCGGCATTTAAAAATTGTTCCGCTTTACATTAATGACATATATAAGTGAATGTGACAGATGATATAGAACGTATGAGACGGAAAGAGACAACAGTCTGTAGAATTGCAATCTAATTACACCAATATTTGAGTGCCTCAATTTCAGTGCTCCTGTGTATTTGTATGTGTGTGTGTATATCTACCTCTTATTTATACATAATATAGTTAGGAGATATAATTTTGACGCGAGTATTATGGAGCCAATGTCAAATACCCATCGCCAGTAAGCAAATCTATAGATAGAAATAATGTTATAACCGGCCGATAGTCAATACCGAATTTGACATTGACTTTGATGCACATATGACCGTGTGCGTCGAGCAAACTACTGTCTGTGCGTTCGGATCAATTAAACTGATGCACGAACAGAGGCGGGAGCGTGCTAACAAGCGAGATGAGAAGTTTGCCGAGCTGTTCACACTGTGTCGACTTTTCGGCGCCCCATCGGAGCAATTAGCCAGATGAGGTCAAAAGCCGATGATGAGCTGGCACCTCTTGGATACGGAGCTTATTACGGTTGGCGTGCGTTTTGACGGGGGGCGGTCATAAGCGTTGCATTATAAATAATAATGCATTGCTTCTAAATGATCGCTGTTAAATTTATGACGGGCATATAAGTTTTATACCGTTCGGAATAGTTCGTGTACGAATTCCATCGCTGGCGACGCGACGGCGCGTGTATCAAATCTGTACTTATATATAATAAATGGAGAGTCGGTTTTTTGTTCGGTTATAGGTACCTACTGCGAAAACTACTAAACGGATCGGTATAATACTTATTATATACGATGCAGCGTGTATCGGAGAATGTTTTAGTATGTAATATGTTGTAGATTACTTATCCGGAACCTATTTTTTTTTTTTGACTTAAAGAAGATGATATATCCAAGCAAAGCGGCCGGGAAAAATCGATTTTGCTAGGTTTCATTTTTAGAAAATGACCTTTTATCATTCGAATATGACGTTAAATTTCGCCACAAAATAAAATGTTATAATAGCTCGGTCGGTAATCGGGCGGCCCCAAAGCAGACTGCCGCGGTTCGTATCACGATCATGTACACTCTTATTTTTTTTTTCACTTTTTTTCTATATCAGTTCAATTTTTTTATTTCCAAAATACATGATTTACCAAAAACAGATCGAGCAAAGCTTGGTTCTCCAGGTACTAATATAATCATAGGTGCACTATATTTTCAAACGACTTCAAAAAGGGATGTTTGATTCGTATGCATGTGTTTTGTTTTAATGTACCTCAGAATGCCTTTATTTATGTTTTGATTTAAAAAAAAAATCATTGGGTTTTGTTTAGCTCCCATACGGTCACATACATTTTCATCGAGACATTATGGAACTACTCAAAATCAAATAGAAAATGTGTACCGAAGTTTTGATTTTGCTAATAATGTTGAGTCGCTGATCTTTTCTAGATCTACCGTATGTAATGTCGTATGCCAATGGCTACTCTTATTTGAATAAACAAACGAGTCGACCCGTGATAGTTTTTCGCACAGCACCAAATCACTCGCCGGAAGGTAATAAATATACTCGTAATAATGTACATGTAAGTACGAGTATATAGCAACAAAAGGTTTTATCTAACATCTATGAGTAATGAAAAAAAACATACGCAGTAAAATATCAAAATAAAAATTATATCATATTTAATTATACAACATATTTATAGGCACTCCGAACGACATTAATAGTATTTATATCAAATCCATAACGACAAATATATTTTTGCGTATTCCTTTTTTAAAAATAGCTCATATGAAGCGTTTGGTGACGATGACGCGAGTTCCATGATTTTCGTTCATCCAAAAAGTTTGCCTAAAGAAGTTTTCACTTCCAAAGTTCAGTCCACATCGCACTTACATTTAAATAAATTTATCGTACATTTTTAAACGGATTCTTTTTGTGTTATCTTTATTCCGTTATTCTATTTTTCAAATGAAACAATGTTACCATTGTTACTGTTAGAATTTATACAATGGAAAATACAAGAACCATTACACAGTCGCAATTTGTAACATGCAACCCATTGCAAAGTTAAACGCTTGTACCTTAAACAGTTCATTATTACCGTTGCAAAAACAAAATTGCCCAAAGCATTCTCTTCAAATTTCATTACACTATGGCTTATTTAACATTATTGTTAAATACTATCTGGAACGCTGCGGTTTCGTAGGGTTGACAAATTAATATTTAAACATCAGTGGATCGAATAAAAATACATTTTGAAATTATAGGTACTTAATTTTGAGGCCATTACAAACATTGACGTGATAAGTGTCAAGTACCTATTTCAGGTTTTCATACAAAGTGGTACATTTACTACTAATAAATATAAGTAAAAAATAGTGCTGATACAGTTTCACAGCTCACCCGTTACAAGTAAACAAATTTACCATGCTATAATATTAGAGAAAAATGAAATGGAACCTTTATATTAACGTGCATACACCGAAATTGTAGATTTCTTAAAAGGCTTGAATGACTACACGCAAAATATGTAGGAAGACAATAATTATTTATCTTGGTAGTGTGTAATGTTTTTTTTTTAATGCAATCATATATTTTAATGCATAATTTAAAAAAATATTAGCATTCTGCACTCCTCTATATATACTATATAAGTGTGGGAAATTTAATACTCCTCCGTCCGCGCAAATTTCGTAAAAAGGGGTACAAAGTTTTTGCTTCACGTACTAATATATAGATAACATTTGACATACGTAAGTATGGAGAAATCATTTGAACTTAAACTCTCTGTTTAGGCACAGTTCCGCCTTTGTCGTTCACGTCGCAAATAAATGCTGAACAACAGTCAATCGTTGTTGTCAATTATACTGATGTTTATTATTGAGGATTTTAAAAGGCAAAGGTTCAATGATTTACGGTTTACGTGAGAATAACAGAGGTTTAATGCAACCAAAAATTACTGTATAAGGGGATATTTGACCTGGTGAACGTATCAAAATTCTTTTAAATATTTTATCCTATCAATCCAAATTCTCGTGTGTCCTGTGACGAAATACGAATCAGTCTACAAAACGTCATTTAAAGTAAAAATAAAAATATAAAATAAAAAAAAGTGACGTGTTCGCGTAGTGCAAGCATCTTTAAATTATATATAATTACGAGAATAATCTTTAAATTAAGATTCGATACCATGAATCAAGCGAATAGAATCAGTAAGACTCGATGTCAATTATCTCTATATATTCAAAGGCTAGTCTCATTTGGACGTTATAAATTACGCACGACTCGCAAATTTAGGCCAAACATGCGGAAGAATCTAGGCCCATGTGTATATACTTTCTATGGATGAACACGTAAAATTGGTAAAAATAAACAATAAATTAAAAGACTAACATTTTGCTGCACTAGTTTCTTAACATAGGGTCATTTTAAGATGATCTGGGTATTTCTTCCTAGCACTCAGTGATGCAGTTTAAAATTTCGGGGACCGGGAAATAAACTCGTTGTTTTAGTATATGGCACTTCGTTGTTTTAGTATGCATAATATTGCATAAAGCAATATTTGCGAATGTAGTACTCTAAGAATATCGGATCGTAAAATCAAAACCGTCTAATGCCTGATGATTTAGAACGTCATTAAAACGCTTACAGATAATGTCAACCACAATAATTAAAACATCTTTGTATAAACTGTCTATCAAACCAATATTTCTAAGCTAGAGTTACTACTCTGTTAAGCAAATGTAGAGTGTGTATACAATGTCTGCAATGCCACTGGGTTTATTTATAGGGACAGTATTTAACAATTTGATCACAAGTTTGGTATTCAAGTTCAAGAGGATATCAGAATTAGCGAAAATTTTATGTAACTTTTTGTGAATTCTTGCTTTATCTTTAGCGTTTACTTGTAGCAAAGTTGAACTTATAAATAGTTCGGTAAAGCCCTTTACAATTGAACTATGTTACATCGGCCTTGCGTTTGCGTCTATAATTGTGCTCGACACCAACTTCTTGCTGTGTTAATTCCACCGTATTTCTTGAGAGTAATGTATTTACACTCAGAAATCTGTTTAGATAATTTTATTTTATCTGTTTCCAAAGAAACCGTCGCACTTACCGAGAAAAATATCGTAAAATGATCGAGCGTTGACAACATTCAAAATCAAATCAGCGACCGTACTCATGTTTACAACTTGACGATAATCATCCAGTGCTGCGAGATATTTCAGCTTACGAGTCGCCGGAATATCAAATTGGACTTAGCGTGTTCGAAATTCGAAAACGCTCTAGATTTTCGCTAGGGTTGTTACCTGATCGTTCTGGTCGTGGGTCAGATAGAGCCAGCCGAGGAGCGCTTGGGGGCAGCCCTCCGTCTTGCTGCACCACTGGGGCAGGTCGGCGCCGATGGCGGTGGGCGACATAGCACCATCGGTGGTTCGACGCCGTGTCACAAGCTGGCGCGTTTTCAGGGCATGTCAGGGCGCGCGGCCCGGCGGCTCGGTATTTTTGGATCGCAGACGGACGGGATGCGCGCGCGCCGGTTACACTGTGACTAGCCAGCCCGCCGTTCCTTAAGACGGGAGATGGGATCGCGCGCGGGACGTGCCCGTTTATCGATATCGATGGACTTCTCCAACTCCTGGCGTCTACGGTGAAGCGGTTGTCGAGTTTGAACTGATCAGTAGGTACATGTTTTAATGAAACTCAGTAACATTTTATCAAGTTGATTGAAATTATATTTTTTTATATGAAACAATAAACGAATTATAAAATGGCCATTAGTTAGATGTTGTTGACATTAACAATGATAGCTTTTATACCGAATCAACCTAATTGCAATTTCACTTTGCCTTAGGTAAAAATTTCATACTTCTTTTGTTTTCTTTATTAAGTTTCAAAATAAAATTAAATTGTCGTCCATGCAACAGCTCCCACTTCCTCAAAGAAGGGTGAAGCGGAGTATAATTTTATACCGTGGTAGAACGCTGAAACTTTTGCTGTTCCACGAATGAGTAAGATCATCCAGGGCCATGACGTCAAAGAAAACGCGCTTGAAGTGGAAGTATTATACTTTTGCGTTTCGTTTGGTTAATAACGTTCAGGTACCGTAGATATCCAGGCGGGTTACCGCTTACGAACTTTTATTGAAAAAAGTCCATTTGTCCTTTTTGGAAAATATAATAAAATTTACGTTTGTTTTTGCAATACATTTCGTTGACGCCGTGAGCCGTGCGATCGTTGCTCTTAATATCTATCGATAAACGTAAAGACAACCGTGTCGCGTCCTTAATCGAAACATGTGGGCGCAACCGACGCGCTGGGACTCCGTGGAGCAATATTTTCGTTCAGCCCCCCTACCACGAAACTCCGATCGCAATTCGGACGCTCGCCGCTCTCAAATGGAGCGACGAGAAGTCGGGAACGGGCATTTCAATATTTTTCATACGAAACTTCGCACACTCAATACTGTTCTTTCGAACGATCATTCGATTTTAGCCAAGCTATGTTAATCATGAACGATAACGGATTTCGCTTTAATGAACGACTTAGCTTAGTAATAGTTTCGATTGGTGCTATTTAAAGATTAAAGTTGTCTGAAGGGCTACCGTTTCAACGATAAGTAAATGTGGCGTATGTTTTAGGTTTGTAGTTACGTTACACAGATAAAAATTACATTTTCTGTTTACTTCGTTAATATTATACCACTGTTTTCGAATTCGAGGATATTTCTTTTTTAGCTTACTACTTATGGTACTTTGCAAAGCTTCGTTGTTGCCACGCACTTAGAAGAATCTAAATCACGTGAAGTGAATTCTGGCTGTGGCGAATTCAAACGCGTATATCGGCGAATATAAATTACCTCTCCACTTTATTGGATGATGTATAATGTTGCCATCACTAATCTATTTAAAAATAAAGCTAAAAGTAATAGTGAAAGTACAAAAACATGAATGACTCAGATACGCAAGAGAATTATCTACTTGATTCTACATCAAAACTACTTTTTTTCTTCCAGAAACATTGAAACTGATGTAGCACATACTACATTTGTTTTATAATGTATTTGTAAGCTACGAACAATGTTGAGGCTCCATACACACTTGCGATCGAAGCACTTTGTTTTTGTGAATGCATATTTTGACGTCAAATGAAGATAAGTTCCAAAATTCACAACTAAACTTGTGAAATAAGTGCCACTCCAAAAAAAGCTTTCAGCGATTGAGAGTTCTACATTAATGTTTCAAGAGTGGTAATCGCAGGAGCGCTTTTCACACTAAAATAATTTCGAATAAATAATTTAGTGTTAAATATTATTTGAAGTGTTTCTTCGGGTGACATTTTATTGAAGTTACGAGCTGAGAAAGCGAAACGAATGACATTTTATTTAAAATTAAAGACGTGCGTTCGAGTGGACACCGGGTTTGCAAACGAAATACTCAAAGAGCCGTCAGTGATCAACCAAAGATGGCGGATGTCTGGAACCGACTACCATGGATGCAAATTCCATCTTTAGAAAATAATGACGTAAATAACTCTTCGTATTAAATGGCGGTAATTTGTCTAGACTGTCCTTTTGACTTAATCTATTCAAAGTCAAAGTCAAAGTATATTTATTCAATATAGGCCTAACTTTAGCTCTTATTGAACGTCAACAAAAAATCTACCACCGGTTCACTAAACTAGACCTGCACAGAGAAGAACCGGCAAGAAACTCTGGGGTCTTGTTCTTTTTGTTATATATTTTTTTTGATGCAATTATACACACTTATTTAGGTATAAAATCACATTCATATTGTTCAATATTCTTTATTATTTAACTAATATCCAATATCCTTCAATGTTTGAAGGCGTGTGTTAGAACTGAGACGTGGTTCTTCACTGCTGGCCGTATGAGAAAGCTCAAAATCACTTAACGAGCCATTGAGCGGGCTATGCTCGGTAGTTATGCGTGATAGAGTCCGCAATGAAAATGCCTTCATCCGCAGTAGTAGAAAGATACACTGCACTAGATAAAGTGATGCAGGTGGGTCAGGGTTCGAGTCAGTCTATGGGGGAGGCCAATGGTTAACAGTGGAATCTAGCAGGCTGAAATGATGATTTAAATTATTAGAAAACCTTAATGAGTGTGGCTTGTATCAATATCGAACCGGAGTCTAATGATTTATCGGATGATCACCAAGTTATTTGTTAGTTGACTCTTGCCGGTTTACTATCACAAAGCATTTAATCATTAGAAAATTCTAACGTGAAACGACGTCTAACAAAAAATGTTACTTTAAATATTTATTTATTTCAGTGCTTCTAACGGGACGCAACAAAACATAAATATGACGAATTAAAAAGATAGGTGAGAGTTTTGTTCAAACTCTTCGCTGGCCAACTTTTTTATATTAAGTTCACGCGCGAACTTAATATTTCTTATTTAAGAGGCACCTTTAATAAACGACCTAGAACAATGTTTTATTGCGGGCATCCATCAGCCCATTGCGATACATCTAACAGTTTGGTCCCATCAGCGTCCATTGAATGTATTGTATCTAACGTTAGTGTAAGTCGACCGATTTGAAAAGTCGCTACGCCGGGGCGCCGCGCTCGACGCACGCGGTGTACACATTTGGCGGCGTTACGCGTTCGGGACATTCTTTATTGCGTTCAATTAAATAGCGTCATGAGTACCAATTGACTCCATTACAGTGCGTCGTCGGCCGGCGTTTTATTTTTAACCGAACGTTTTCGTGTGGAGATGTCGTTTTCTTTAATGCTATGCGGACTTTGCCGAAGATAATTTGACGCTGTTTTCGGTTGCAGGTTAGGAATGCGTTTCCGTACAATTATATATATATACGAATAATTTTACTATGACTATTATTTATTGCAAGAATAATTTGACAATATCAACTGCAAGTAATAGAAAGGTTCTCCTGTTGACGCACGAACTAGTAGATTTTGACTGCTGCGAATGTTTAAAAAGTTAAATTAAAATAAAACGTCTTACCTTGACTTTGACTTTCATGGCGTAAGAACCTTGGTCCGTCGCTTAACTCAGGCATGGATCTAAGGAGTTCATGAACCCCTAATCCTGTTCATAAATTTATAATTTTTCTATAACGAATTGATCATAATATCTAAGATTTTATCTTGTTTTAGAGAACTGTTGTAGAACTACGAATGGGCCAGACCGTCAGGTTAAGTACCACGACCTCACAGAAATGAAAAAAAATGAAAATATTATTTATTAATATATAGGTTTACAATTGATACAATACTAACCCCCACACTAGGCGCAGCCCGTCCTATGGGGGAAGTTAATGATTTCCACAATTTAGTGTCAGCACATGAACGGTAAACACAATTTGAACCACTTAGAATAACAAAAAAGAAAAATAAAAAAAAAAATTAAAAGAAAATCTAGAAACGGTTAAACATAATTATAAAAAAAAAAGATGTGATAATAATGACAATAATTTAATGATGAATAGTTATAAACGAATGTGTGCATGTGTGTCCTAGGTGTGAACTAGGTAGCAACGCATCTGCAATCCTACGGGTGTTGCAAATGTCCGTGGGCGGCACTTATCACTTAACATCAGGCGAACCACCATATCACTTGCCACTTACTCACACAAAAAAGAATAGAGAATTCAATAATCAATTACCGTAAAAATTTGTATGGTATTATTTGTACTTCTCAACTTCATATCAGGGTCCGCGCCTGCCCTTAACTCGTGCCATGAGAACAAAGAAAGAAAGAAAATAAATTCATTTACCAAAAAACCTATGTACATAACATGCAAGCCTTAGAGGGCTAGCCATCCAACACATCCACTAAATAAACATGAAACTGAACCTGGGACTAGAGAGATCAATTGGCGTTTTAAAGCAATGCCGTTGCTTTAAACTTTAAAACAACACAAAAAAGATTTATTGTTGCGTAATAACAATAGACTTCGATAATTCGACATCTGTTTAAAAGTTCTCCTTTCCACTCAATAATGAGCAAAAAAACTTTTGTTCGCCCATTTTTCGACTTTGTATTTTACTGCAATGCGTCAATTCATTTAGGGTGGGTCTGACATGACCCGATTGATTATACCCTGTTGGGACCTCTCTAATTATTCTTAGTATTAATGATAAATATAAATAATTCTCAAGCTGTGATAGCTCATTGTCCGGACGCTCGATTTTAATTCAATGTACTCGAGCAACCTGAATTCGATCCCCGGTGCTGGCACAAATCAAACTGTTAATTTTAAGCGCTCACTTATCACGCGCTCGGCGGTGAAGGAAAGTATCTTGATGACACCTGCATATTTTCGAAATAAATACAAAAAAAATTTCGAAGGTATGTGAAGTCCACCAATCCGCAGTGGGATGGCTTGACGGACTATGCCCTAATACTGTCTGTACAGAGGTCTCTGCC